AAAATTCAATCATCTTAAAACTCTCTGTACAACAAATTTCACAAGTTTCCCTCTTCCTTATCAGCCATTTAAAACCCCCAAATCACAATGAGTTAAATTTTGGATCTTTCTAAAAAGAGAGGGAATTTTCAAATTAGTATTGTACAAGTATTTGGGGCATCTAAGTTTGGAGAATCAAACTTGAATTGAGAAAAAATCAACTGAGAAAACGTAATTTTCATGTGGATTTGTTTGGTTAAAGTCCAGTTTGTGTTTGTCTAACTCAACACACGCAACTACAAATGGACAACTTTCAATTATTACGAAGGCTTTCCACAAATTGAGATTTGGCCGTAGAAGGGTCGAATTGTATTCGAAGAACATTATTCTATTCTATGTTTTGCTGTTTTAGGATTTTACTAGAAGAAACATATGAAGGCTACCACAATAGTTGAACATGTTGCAATCTGGAATTCTCAAAACATTAATGCTATGTGATACTCAGTGAAACTACTGGACTGGGGGAAAAGGGCCACATAACAGATGCTGAAAACATGTGTAGGCTACCACAAATTGATCCTAAAAATCTGGATCTCATTTCTGCTCTCATAACATATATTTTTTTTATTAACATGCACATTTTGAAATCCTCTATGATACTCAGTGAAACTACTGGACTGGGGAAGAGGGCCATAAAATAGATGCTGAAATAGCATCACTACGAGCAGCTTTTACGCCCGTAGTGAAGAGAACTAACACAATCCTCATGAAAATCAAAACAAGACAAAGATAAGGAAAACATGTTATGAAGTTCATATTTAAAACTACAAATGGCAGGCATTTTCCAACTATAATCTAAACAAAATGGAAACTTAAATTTGATTCAAACGCAACGTTGAGCAGTGAAAGGAGAGCAAAGTCAGAGCATGAAGAAAGAAGCAGCCAAATATCATTGGATCGAACTTAACTTTGACGTGAACACTAAAATTTTGTCTTATCTCGACTTAAGGGTAAGGATGATGAACACAACAAACAGTCGCCTAGTTAGAATGGAAGGAACTTTAACAAAGAAAACAACACAAAAGAATACTTCAGCAACTTGAAACATGTAGCTTTTTGACTCGTTTAAACTCAACTTCTTAGTTACAGCAAACTAGAAACAAATAACTCGTAATGTAGGATAACAGGGCATGTACGACCATTTATGTTTTCCTATAGAAAATGATTTCGAACTTCATAACTGAACCACGACTTTCACAGCCAACCAAAACAGTGAAATAAGAGGACCTTACTAAGGAGAAACAAACTCGAGACTGAACCAAATCATCAAGATTACAAGGAGACAACAGTCAAGCAAACAACATGAATAGCAAACAAGTTACACCACTGATTTACAGTCTAATAATAAGTCGAAACACTCTCAAAAATTTCTAACATCTGAACGAATTACAAAGATCAAGAAGTAAACAGTCCACACATCAGTTGAGCAGCAA